AATTTACAAAATATCGTAAATTTCATTGGTGAGGTTAGTGATGATAGGTGAAAGCATTTACCAACTTTGTTCTTATGAACAAACTTTGAACTATATAGTCTCTACTTTTCTCTGATCGTGAGAAGTGTTTCGCAGCTAGTTTCATTTTCACTATGCAGCTTCCAAATATATTCATGGAACCTATAAACTCAAACATCCAGCTTTGCAAAATAGTGAAATGTTGTGTCAAAAATGACAATACATTATCATGTATCGTCTTTCTCTGTTTCAACAGAATAAAAGCTGGGCACGTTTATCGTTTTATTTTTCAGTGAATAGTATATGATGTTTGTTATTTTAGAGGTGTCGAAATTGTCATCCCTATAATTCTTGATCGTTTCAGTCCAAAAATCTAAAATTTTCCTCCATGCTATAACTTCTTTTCACGGGCTATCCACAGAACACGAAAGAGTAGGGGAGCATCATTTTCGGAATGGCGATCTGCATAGATAATTGTTCGATTGGTTTATCGAACACCTTTCAATTACTTACCGAAGTGCTGCTCCACTAAAATTAGTAGTGGCCATTGTCAAACTATCGAGTAAATTCGGTGGCATATGCCAAGATTTTATTCCACTCAAAATACTCTTTCGAGCATGAGATGAAGGTCGTCCGACGAAGAATTTGCCAGACATACGCCGTAGAAATGCATCATCCATCATGTGTAAACGATTGGTAGCACAAAATATCATTAAATTTGGTACATCTTTAATCCCATCAATTACTGATAATAGAACGCTCAGTTTAGCCACATTTCCATCGCTCGTGTCATCTTTACGTTTGGGTGCAAGTGAATCAATTTCATCGATCGATACACAACACATAAGATATGGTATTCGATGGCAACGCATACAAATATCGGAAATAATACGTTCTGACTCACCGACCAACGGTCGATTGAGCTCACCGGCAGCAAGTGGAGGTGCAACCATGTTAATGCCCATCCGTATTGATAATTTGCTCATGATATCCGATTTACCAGTACCTCAAAAAGAAAACCAAATTCATCAATTGTTCCTTTACACAGTCATAATCTCTTGCAATGAATGCTCACTTTTTTTTTCTTCGACATACTTTTCTCAAGTTGCAATGAAATGCACATTTACAATTTGCTCATTTTTCCGAAAAGTTATAGAAAAATCGGTCTCTGTTGTCAAATTCTACATAATGACTCTCGACAATTTGTTAGTTTTGAACTGAAACTTCATTTTAGTCATGTGCCTAAGCTTCAGATGTAACCCGCTCGGTTGAGTCGGCGCCGCTATGGGATGCAAAAGAAGAGAATTTAAATTTAAAGTTCTTTCATTCTCAAGCTCAATTTTCGTAGAAGGCTTTATCAGATTTCTTTGTTGTTGTCTCAGCTGCTTATTTTTTTTTATTTCTCGCTATTTTTTCGAGTTTTTCAATTCTTTTGGTGTCCGAAACTTCCAGCCGTTGTTGCAGGTCTTTCGATTGGCTTATATCTCTATCTCTAGTATAAGCAATTGAAGTGCTATTATCAATGGAAATTTTCTCCGTAGAAACCTACCTGGAGGCCCATACATGATGAAACCTCGATTCGGCTTGATCAGATCTCGATCTGATTTTGTATCACTATTGAGTTCTTCGTTTAGAAAACTTTGATCGAGACTACTAATAAGATCCTGGATCGCTTCGATTTGATTTCGTAGTTTTTCTCGTACAGGTTCGAGTTCTTCCATAGCTTGTCGATGTTGTTGGATCAATTCTATCGTAGAAAATGTCTCATACACATTCTGTCTTGTCTTGGATTTCGCGAGCGATGGAGTCTCGATGGGGTAATCCGTCTGTTCACGAGTATTTCTTGAACTGGTCGGTGTCTTTCCCACAACTATTTGTGTGATTCGTTGAAATATTCCCCCATCCTTGGAGTTCTTGTGGCTGCCATTGTTTCTTGCTTGATCTGATTTTTGTATCGTAGACTGATGAGTATATCTTAAATTTCGAATTGCATCATCGTGTCTATAATATTCGTCTTCTTTTTCATTCAACTCAATAGCTAAATCTTGCTTTCTTGTCACTAAATTGTTTCTTTCTGTTAATAGACGCGTTGATATTGTCTTCCAACGTGTCTCATTGACGGCCAAATCTTCTTCAACCATGGTTAATGGTAGAAAAAACAATTTCATTTGATCAAAAAGACCATCATCAGCAAAACCTTCACGACGCATCTCATCGAATGATAATTGAACGCATTCAGCATTTAATTTAGCCGGAGGTCGTACTCCAACTTCCAAAAATTGTCTGGACAAGATATAATGAAAGTACAATTTAATCTGATGAATGTACGCCAATAATTGAGATGTGGATTCTGTGTATGAAAGCAGAAAGAAAACAAATCTAGATAAGAAGAATGAATTGAAAAGTTTTTCAGTCAAAATTACCCCTTTACGATTGTTCATCATTTTTTCGAATAAAACAAAAGAAAAATTCATTTTATAGCTGATCGGAATTGATCTTTTCAAAATAGCAGTTTTGACTTATTGTGAAATGTTTAAAAGTCGATCAAGAGAAGAAGCGGAAGTCATTCTCATCATTATAAATATTGATAATTTGCTTGCTTTTCAAACAAGAGGCGATTGAAAATTTTACAGTGATTTGTGATTCCAGAATGGGATATATGCGTGTTTATAGAGGAAAATTTCCTTCCACTCCAATGGTGTATAGGTCATGTCACCATGTTCCCATCATTTTGAAAAACCTCAAACCACTAATTCATTCGCATTCACAATGCAAGAATTACTATATTGTATCTTATTGTGTTATACCCAGGAGAATGAATCCAATAATCGGATCCTAGGGTTGGGATCTAATACTAATTAGATAAGCACTAATTAGATGTGTACTAATGAGGATGAGAGGACATATATACGATGGGATACATGAAGTATTCCTCTACCAGCGTATATATATATATTGTTCGAGGATCAAAACCTTATAGTCACATTTTTGCAAACAAATTTAGATCTTATCACATGAAAAAAGAAGATTAGAAAATTTCATGTAATTGTCAGCCTTTACTTACGAATGTCGTTGTTTGAATCGGATTTTTTGTCCTTGGTACCTCCTTTAGTATCGGTAGCCATTTGTTTTTCTCGATCCACATACGATTTTAAAATTTTTCTTCCATTCAGTGGTAACTGTTTCAATTGATCCCATTCTGAATATTTCAAATTGACAAGATGATCGTAACTGAAAAGATGATCGGTCCTCAAAGCTTTGATCCATTCTTCAGCCATACCATTATTTTCTTTTTCACAAACATCTTCAACAAATCGTTCTAATGATACAGTACTCGGTCGATCGACATTTTTTGCTGTTTGTGCACTCTCTTGATCGGTACTCATACTATCATTTAACCATTCAAATAAATAATACAATTCTACGTTTGGAGCCAATTTCCACTTGCGTGGAAAAAATTGTTGCTGGGGTACCAGATTCAATTCAAAGAGGCCGTGTAGATGATCGAAATACCACGTATCAAACTCATCAACTAATACGATTGGTTCGATTAGTGGAAGCTTTGTTAGTGCACGTCCAGCATCGATCGTACCACCTCGCATGACCAATTGAGTACGAATGAATACGTCCAACGTGGAACCAGGAGGTATTGGTCCGCCTATAAGATCATCCGATAATATTGAAATGTTTGTCGGAAGCATTCTAAAATTAATAATAATGAGAAAATTTGTATTAATGATTATTTAATGATTGAAGTCTGAACAAAACAACATTTGATTTAATTCTGAATAGTTTCATTAAAGATGTGGATTTTATGTTTTTTGATTTTTCGAAATAGGTGAATAGTTTGAAACAATTTGAGATGCGAATATCTTTTAAATCTCTGACAGTAGTTCACATACAGATTCTGAATGATTTCACTGTCAATTTTTTAAAATACGAAACAACATAAAACTAAGCGTTCAAAGAAAAAATATGGAGAATTCTTTGCTAGATTCGTATTGGTCACCGTAACACGAGATTTCCGCGCACGACATTTCCGTGCCGACGCATCCGCGCATGACATTTTCGCGCGTCATACTATTACACTGACAATTAAGCAAAAAATGAATTTTTTAATTTCTATACGAAATTAACTCTTCTTTTAAACTTTGAGTAAATGTTCTATCCTCACGTGATCAGATTAAATAAATTCATTCGTATAAATAAAGGAAAGATGTCTTGTTTCCATATTGCTGGATCAATTTATATGAATAAAAAGTAATTAATAGCACAGGATTAATTAATAAAAAGTGAAAAAGTGCGATTGAAATTAAAATAACAAAAAGTATAGGAAATATAACGATAAATAAAATATAAGTGAATATATACATCACTTCAATAACTTCTTAAAACAAAAATATGTCTATCATACAGTCAATTACCGGTAAACACCAACTTATTCTCGACGATTATCGTTGTCATGGAAACAAATTAGTTTGGTGTTGTGTAAAAGATAATTCCAACACTCATGCTCATTATGATGGTTTAATTTATGAAATGTACCAAGATCATATATGTCAAGCAGGAGATCCGGATAAAATTGAAAAAGCTGCATTTAATGTTGTATCTAGAATGTTGCTGGTCTTCACTCAAGTTTCTACACCTTTATCAAAAACATATTGTGAAAAGAAAAAAAAATACAGCTGTAGTTGCAATTCAAATCTTTGTTAGAACAGTAACACATATTGAACGAAAGAAAAAAATATGGAAAAATTACTAAACGAATGAAAGCAATGATAAAAGTATTTAACGTTATTTCACGTGTCAATTATTTGAAAATGGTTAGATCAATCTTTAATTTTTGTATGTTTGATTCAATATTCATTAACTGTAGGATGTTATTTATCTATTTTTTACTGATCTAATTCTAGATTTTCATGCGTATTCTTTCAATAAATAATTATTCACAAAGTTTGAAAGAACAATTAATTTAGTGTAGAAAGAAAAAACATTCATTATTTGCTTAATTGTCAGTGTAGTAGAATGACGCGCGGAAATGTCGGTGAATCATTGTTCTCATCAAAACGAGCGTCATGTGATGAATGATGCTCTCAGAGTTTTTATCCATAACTTAACGCAGTTTGGATAATGAAAAGTTGATCTTCGTTTGAAAAAATAGTCCGGGCAACTATCGGCGAAAGTTGCATGAAATGAAACAGAAAAATGAAAATAAGAATACTGAACATGTATAAAATAACCAATTTTTCAATTTTTTTCGTTCCTAGACATTTTTTAGTCCTTCAAAAAATCTGAACAATTATACTTAATTAAAAATGTTTCTTGCTCGTTCATGGAACGTAGGATATTGATCTTTGTTCAATGTTAATCGTTATCAATAACACTTACCGTCGTTTTGACGATGTCTTAGCAAGTGGGCATAGTAGAAAATCTTGACAAAATTCGAACACAGATGCTCGATTTTTTTTCACCAAAATTTGACAAATTATGTGTGGCAAGACTTCAGTAGCCATCGGTGATTCAGAAGCTCCTGTAGGTGCAGTTGATTCTGTTTTTATTTTCGATATTGTTGAAGAAGCCGGTGATGGTTGATTCCTCCTAGCTCTTCGCTGTTCAATAGTACATATCTGAATATATTCACCATAGATAGCTGCGCATGCAAGTTCTACGTATGGTTCCATAATGCATTTCTTCAGATGGGCTAGATTTTCCGCATCGTCCATTAGAAAGAATTTATCAGCAAGTAATTTGATTTTATGATCTGCATTGATAATCGTGGTTGCTGTCGACTCAGTTTCTTCCATGTCAGCATAAGCAGAACGAATCTCTTCAAGATGTTCACGATTGATCGTATTCATCGATTCGGTGACGTTAAGAAAAGCGAACACTGACTGACGATTGTTTGCCATTTGATTTATTAGAAATAGAATGGTTATCTGAAACAGACAAAATATGTATGAGTTATCATATTCTAGTTAATGGCATCGCGTTCGAATGCGCTCACAACTCAAATTCAAAAATAATAAGTTTTGACCTGTAAGCGAAAAAAAACCATGTATCATATGACATTATCCAGCAAAATCATGAGAAGAATCTCTCTTAAAACACGAGACACAACAAGAAAAATATTAGATATCATTTTTCGTGTGTGTGCGAGCTAGTGTTCTGCACCGAAGTCATTTCGGAGTCAACTAAATTTTGGTCCCAATAATTTATTGTTCACATTAAAAATTTTTTTGAGTTGAAGATCTTGTTCTCTGATATTTTCTCTGCAAACTGATGTATTTTGAAGATTCCATGGACGTCTGATCAAGGCTTACGACACAAAAGAAAGTCGGAGTCAAAATCGGAGTCAACTCTGACTCCGACTTTCTCTTTTGTCCGTAAGCTTTGATAAGATGTCGATGAGGGTGTGGGTGTGTGGGTGTGGGGTGTGGGTGTGTGGGTGTGGGGTG